ATCTCCCTGTTCCCAATGCCATCATATTCTTAAAATCTAAAATCCTAGTAGTACATGGAGGTAACAGAACATATCTAAAACTATCCAAAAACCCCATCCCTAGAGAAATGTCATTATCGGACCTATATGGCACATAATGAAAATCACATTCCCATTTCCCCTAGAAATCCCAACCAGCAGAGCTTGTTTTTACTCCAACTGACTCAGAGCTCGCTCACTGCAAACAGGTTTTATCCCAGGGTATTTGCTGAAAACAATCAGTAAAAATTGTTTAGCATCACACCTGCCTGTGATGGTGATAATAGCTGGGCAATCCCGAAGTTGACCAAAAACTTAGATGAAAAATCTGAAGAATGAGATTCTCAGAGAGTTTTAAAAATCTATGACATATTTCTGGAAATCTAAGAAACTATGTGGACTTACAGGGCTATGTGCATGCTCAGGAAAGACCTGTGAAGATACCAATATCTCAACTTTGACTGATTTTGAAGTTCCATACAAGCAGGAAATGAAACCTAAAACAGATTTGTAAACTGTCTTCTGAAGTCTTGAAAACATGTCCTGACATACACACAGAGGTCCTCAGCAAAGGTTGAAAGATATTAACTCAAGGCACTTAAGCAAATCTCTGTCCACCAAGCTAACCGAGTAGAGAGTTCAATGACCACAGATTTTACAAATTTGGTTCAGGAAAAGTTATGAAGCAAATGAACAGTGAAAACAAATAGCAACAAACTCCAGAGAGAGGTTGGAAAATCTGATTTCCAGGATTTTATATTGTTTTAAATGTCCCCCCCCCCCTTTTTTTTTTTTGAGATGGAGTCTCACTCTGTCACCTAGGCTAGAGTGCAGTGGTGTGATCTTGGTTCACTACAACTTCCACCTCCCAGGCTCAAACAATTTTTGTGCCTCAGCCTCCCAAGTAGCTGGGACCACAGGCACGCACCACCATGCCCAGCTAATTTTTTGTATTTTTGGTATAGACAAGGTATCATTTGGCCAGACTGGTCTCAAACTCCTGATCTCAGGCAATCCTCTCTCCTCAGTCTCCCAAAGGGCTGGGAATATAGGTGTGAGCCAATGCAACTGGCCTTAAATGTCCAATTATTAGCCAAAAAAAAAAGAGAGAGAGAGAGCTACAAGTAAACAAAAAAATATGGCCTACACAGGGGTAGAGTCCATGGAGGTAGTCAAGACAGAATGACCCCGAGGAAGTTTAAACATTGGACTTACTAGACAAAGATAAAAGCCAACTATTTTAAATGCGTTTAAAGTACCAAAATAAACTATGTATTAAGAATTAAAAGAAAGCCTAAAAATATTGTCTTGCCAAATACAGAATAGCAATAAAGAAATTAAAAAAGTTCTTAAAACAACCAAATAGAAATTTGAGGCTTGAAAAATACAATAACTGAAATTTAAAATTGACCAGAAGGGCGCAACAGCAGGTTTTAACTAGAAGAACAAATCAGTGAACTTGAAGATAGGTCAATTGTAATTATCCAACCTGAGGAACAGAAATAAATAAAATTGAATAAAAATTAACAGAGCCACAGAGATCTGTGGGGAACCATCAAACACACCAATGTATTTACAATAAGAATCCCAGATAGAGATGAGAGAAATAAAAAGACAGAAAGAATATTTGAAGGCATAATAGTTAATTACTTATCAAATTTGATGAAAAATATTAATCTCCGCATCTAAGAAGATCAACAAGCTCCTAGTAGGATATAGTCAAAGAGGTCCACACCTAAACACATCATAGTATAAATGTCAAAAGACAAAGAGATAATTTTTAAAACAGCAAAAGAAAAAAGACTCATCAAATACCAAAAAGAATGTCAATAACATTAACAGCTGGTTTCGCATCAGATACCATGGAGGACAGAAGGCAATCAGATAACATATTCAAAGTGCTGGGGAAAAAAAGTAAACCAAGAGTTCTATATCCAGCAAAACCATTCTCCAAAAATTAAGACATTCTCAGATGAACAAAAATTGTGAAACTTTATTTCTAGAAATGCTGCCCTACAAAAAATTCTAAAGGAATTTCTTCAGTCTGAAATGAAATAACACTAGACAGTATTTCAAATTTTTATGAAGAAATAGAGTATTGGTAAAGTTAACTACATGGATAAATATAAAAGATGGTATAAATGTATTTTCTGCTTTCAAGTCTCTTTTTCTCCAATCTGATTTGAAAGACAACTGCATAAAAATACTTACAGAGCTGCACTGATGGCCTTCTAATGTAAAGATATATATGACAATAACAGCATACAGAAAGGGGAGGGAACAAACCAACATAGGAGCAAAGTCTTGCATACTATTGAAATTAAGTTGGTCTTGAACTGTTATATCACTATAAGTTAAGATGTTAATAACAACTCCTGAGGAAACTGCTAAGAAAATAACTTAAAAAATATAGCAAAATATATAAGATGAAAATTAAAAGAGTACACTAGAAAATGCCTGTTCAACAAATAAAGCCATAGTGAAGAAAAAGAGGAACAAAGAAAGATATAAAATATATAGAAAATAAATAGCAAATGGTAGACATAATTTCTACCTTAGTAGTAATTACATTAATTGTAAATAGATTAAATACTCCAATCAAAATGTGAAGACTGCCAAAATGGATAAAATAGCATGAACTAACTATATGCTGTCTATAAGACACCCACTTTAGGCTCAAAGACAAGACAGATCCAAAGTAAAAAGGTAGAAAAACATATGCCATGCAATGGTAATCAAGAGGTCTGGAGTGGCTATACTAATATTAAATAAAAGACTTTAAAATGAAATTAGTAGTAGAGACAAAGAGGACATTTTATAATGATAAAAGGATCCATCCATTAAAGAAATAATTATTATACATACATATAAAGCTAACAATGGAGTCCCAAATTACATGTAGCAAGGACTAACAAAATTGAAGGGAGAAGTAGTCAACTCATAAATAATTTAACAATAATAGTTGAAGTTTTCATACTCCACTTTTATTAATGGAAGAACAACTAGGAAGAAAATCAACAAAAAACCTGAAGACTTTGACAATACTATAAACCAATTAGATCTAACAGACATCTTGATGAGCATTCCAACTACAATAGCAGAATATACATTTTTCTCAATTGCACATGGAACATTCTGCAGAGTAGACCATGTCATAAAAGTAGTGTCATTAAATTTTAAAACACTAAAATCATACAAAGTATCATTCATAACCACAGTAGAATGAAACTAGAAAAGAGTGACAGAAGGAAAATAGAAAATGTAGGAATGTCTTAATCAACTAATGAGTCCAGGAAGAAATCACAAAGGAAATTAGAAAATATTTTGAGATGACTGAATATAAAAATAAAACATACCAGAAATTATGGGATACAGCAAACAAAATGCTCAGAGGGAAATATATGGCTGCAAATGCCTACATTAAGGAAGAAACAAAAATCTCAAATCAACAACCTAACTTTCTGCCTTGAAACACTGAACAAAAGAGGAAACTAAACATAAAGTAGGAGGAAGGAAAGAATGAAGATTAAGTTCATAGCTGCATTATTCACGATAACCAAAAACTGGAGATAACTCAAATGTCCATCATTTGATGAATGAATAAATAAAATGTGATATATTCATGAAGTGAAATGTTACTCAACCGTAAAGAGGAATGGAGTTCTGATACATACTACAACATGGATAAATCTTAAACAATAGATTATGTGAAAGAACTAATGCAAAACGTCATATATTATATAATTTTATTTATACGAAGTGTCCAGAGTAGGCAAGTCTATACAGGCAAAAAAATCAATTAGTGGTTGCCAGAGGGGCAATGTGGAATGAGGAGTGACTACTAATGGGTGGTGATACAAAATAATTGCTATATGAAAGGCAGGATTGCCACCCCCAGTGGACCTGAATGAGATGAAGGTAATCAGGCATCAGACCTTCCTGGTTCCTTCTTGTCAGGCATCTTGGTGAGCGCACAGGAACGTGATGAATGGATAGTCCCAAGGGTGTGCCTGGCCGTCACCTCCCCTAGTTGTGAAAGCTGCAGCGTGCCCAGGCTGTGCATCACACACCCTGCACAGGATAAAAGCACTCCTGCCCTGGGTTCCACATCTGCAGTCTCCTCGGGAACAGCCTTCTCCTGCCTCCTCTGCACCCGGTAAGTGTCCAGCAGGGGACAGGGCTGGATCTGGGATATTAGAGCAGAAAGCTAAGACCATAGCAGAAGAGATGGAAACAGAGAGGTTTGAAACAAAGACCCAGAGACAGGGCTGGGAGAGGGCAGCACTGGGGGAAGGGGGCCAGGAGGAAGACCCTGCAGGACCTGACAGCAATTCCATGACTTGCAAAGGCCACAGGGCTCACGGTTCCCTCCCACCCTCTTTCTACTCAGACTGGCACATTTCCTGTAATATCCATTCTCCAGAATTCTTCTTCCCAAAAGGGTGTATGTCCTAGGGGTTCTTTAGAGAACTAGAAACATGGATGCCCACTTAGACTGACAGCAATCTGTCCCACGTGGAGAGCAGAGTGAGAGGCATCTGGCCTGTCCCAGGAACCCACATCAGCCTCCCTCACACTCCTGCAGCTCTGGCCTCAGGGGGAGCTGTTCTTAGAGACCTTGGTCCATAGATTCTGAACTAACAAGTGGCTTTGTTGTGTCCAGGAAAACTCAACTCCTGCCAAGATGTCCTGCCAGCAGAACCAGCAGCAGTGCCAGCCCCCACCCAAGTGCCCCTCACCCAAGTGCCCCCCAAAGAGCCCAGCACAGTGTCTGCCTCCAGCTTCCTCTGGCTGTGCCCCAGTCTCCGGGGGCTGTGGCTCCAGCTCCGAGGGCGGCTGCTGCTTGAGCCACCACAGGCGCCACCACCGATGCCGGCGCCAGCGCTCCAACTCCTGTGACAGGGGCAGTGGTCAGCAAGGCGGGGGTTCCGGCTGCGGCCACCATTCTGGGGGCTGTTGCTGATCCAGTTCCTGAGGCCGAGATAAGCGATTTTGGAGGAAACAAGAATCCCAAGGGACGAGGAGCAGCCCCACGCTGATGCACGCTTTCCCAGATACCCTCTTCTGGCTTTCACAGGCTGAGCTAGGGATTTTCCTGTGCAGGATCTGAGCTCTCCCCAGAAGGCACTTCCTATTTTACGTCTGGGATGTCACATGTTTCCCTATCCCTGTACCTGCCAAGGATTGGCAGTGCTTGTGTCTGACTTCAAAAAATAAAGCTTCTTGTCTTCTTTACCACTGGCATCTCGCTGGGCATTACACTCTCTCTCCTCAGCTCCTTGGCCAGTACCACCCAGCTCAGGAGCCAAACCTTAGCTCTGCACCAGGAAAACATAGTGGATCTGACCCCACTGCACTAATGGAAGGGAAGGGGAGAGTTTTATGTTGTAGTGAGAGGGAGAGAATGATACAGGTTGTGTTGGTTTGAGACCCTGAAATTCAACCTCGAACTCGAAGAGGGTATCAGTGCTAAAATGGGCTTTTCCTGTGAAATCTGAGAGGACATTAATATTTCTGGGGAATTTCCAGTGTATGAAAGAAAACCACTAGCTTGTTTTGCTGGACTGTTTCTGGGGTGCTAAGAAATAAGAAATCAAGAGGCAGAGACACAGAAACTAGGCAGAGGAGAAGCAGAATCAAAAGAGGTAGGAAGGAGATGTAGGCCTGGGAAGAAGTATAACTCAGTGACTGAAAATCCAGGGAGAGAGACGGAAGCTGAAGGTGTTTAAATATATGAGATAATGGAACAGAGGTGTGGCTGGGAATTTTGTCAACGAGATGTTGGAATGTGCAAAATGAGAATTTTAGGAAAAAGAAAAAGGCAGAAAATGAGTAGTGTTGCTGGAGTTATTAATAGATACACCCAAAGAAGTAAATATGTATTAATTTTGTAACTACATGACCTTGACATCAGCACACAGAAGTTACGACCTCAATGGGGTCACATGTCTTGGCCTAAATGGTGAGACTGAGATGCGCCTGGGGTTGAAGGAATGTTTTTTTATGTGAACCAAGAGTAGCATCTCACTTTGATTGCCAGAAAGCCAGAGAAGTGTCACATTGAGCTAAAGTCAAATTGCAAATATTAAGAGAAGTCAACATGAGGGCTAAGTAGAGCAGGTGGGGGGTGCATTAAAAATAAAGGTGGAAAATCTTATAAGTTCATTGAACTAAAAAAAGATTTTGTCAAATCCTGTAAATTAATTCTTAAAATTTAGGGATCAAAAAGACCCTGAGGCCCAGCATGGTGACTCACACCTGTAATCCCAGGGTTTTGGAAGGCCGAGGCAGGTGGATCACTTGAGGTTAGGAGTTCAAGACCAGCCTGGCCAACATGGTGAAATCCTGTCTCTAGTCTCCACTAAAAATACAAAAAATTAGCTGGCCGTGGTGGTGTACACCTTTAATTCTAGCTACTCAGGAGGCTGAGGCAGGAGAACAGCTTGAACCAGGAGGCAGAAGTTA